AGTCAATGAGAATTTAAAGTGATTTTTCCATTTTTTTGGCCAGAGTAGCCAAACTCAAAGCATACCTACCTCCAGTTTGGCTATTTTAACCTTATGTTTGAAATTCAATTTGAATGATTCTTATATTTCTTGTTTACTAAATAGAGAATTGTATGGAAAGTGCATTTCAAGTATAGGGCTAGAATAACTGAATTTGAAGAATTCCCCAAGTTAGATATTCTTACAGTACAGTTATTTTGGTGGGTATCAGCTAGTATAACCTGGGGAGCCTGATTTTATTTGGCCGCACCTAAGGCATTAGAAGGACACTCCACTGCCCAAATACAAAATAAATAAAATTCATTGTTTGGTAGATATAGCCCAAATTAATATATACACCAAATTAAACATTGTATGCATTTAATTATGCATTTTTTTTCATTGGGCAGGGTGTTCCAGCTTGCAAAACCTGCAGTTGTCAGCCTTCGCAATTCCTCCCCTTCTGACCCCACCCAGACTTTCTATGGCTGTCCAATCACAGACTTCCCAATGCAGCTCAATAAGAAGTCTTGCAAGGCATGCGTTTTGAGCAATTGCTGCCTTGAGTTTAGCTTCACTGAGCTAATCAAACCAGGAAGTTACAGGACCTGCTGTCTGCTTGAAAGCCCGGGGGTGTAACCAGGTTAATTTGAAAAAGTGTTAGTTTCTATTGAAATCTGAACTTTTTGCTAAATTAAAAAAATATAACACATTCTTCACACATGAAGCTTTTCAGCAAGCTAAATTGTTTTAGGGGTCTGGAGAGTCCTCAACGGTGGTTTAAGACGTTCAGGGCAAAGACAGGAATAAATCTTAACAACCAAGATTCATGATCACAGTTAAAATCAGTGAATAGCAATTACATTCAGAAGTCTAGAAATCATAGTTTCCATGTTCACTTTATTACAAGAAATATCCAAGAAGTATCCAAGGCAACTACGTGAATGAATTTAATCCCACCACAGTCTTTCAAAATTAAGGCAGGCAAGGTGCAAATATCAATCTGTTATTGGAATCAATGGTTTCACAATAAATGAAGTTAGTTATATAACATAACTCTACAGAGAAAATGTTATATACTAAACCAGAAATTGTCAGGAATTGACCAGAATTGTAATCTATAAATCAAAATAAAACAACTAAAAATATTTCCAGCTCAGCTATTTTACTTACTGCCCGGTTTTGGTCTTCAGAAAGGGTTACTCCGAGCATCAGAACCTCTACATCCCACTGTAATGGTTATGATGTGAGGTATACCCTGGCCAGTAATAGGTTTTTTCTGCTCTTAATGTACACATCTGGCTTCTTCATTGGCTGAGAGCATCAAATGTGTAATTGTCTGGTCAGTTTCAGGAAATTCCTGCTTGAGTGTATGTGTCTAAATGATTCACAAAAGTGAGAGGTTTTATAGCAAGTCTAGCCAAAATTATAAATATATCAAATTTCTCTGTAATGCACTGGCAACATTTTTACAGAAACTATAGTGATGTCAGAGTAACATTGTATTATAAAAAACATCAAATGTAAGTAAGAAAAAACATAAGAGGAAAATGAATACCTAGCCTGTATATTTGGTTTTAAACTAATCGAGATTCATCCGAATTTTGGCCAATTTGCAATTTGTCTGAATTCTGTAACTCTAAATTTGACTTCATTTAGTTTGTTTTGTGATTTCAAATTCTGTCCACGGTGTCAGATACAATCCACTGTTTCTAATTATGTGCCTTAATTACAATAAATTGTTAGTAAATGGTAATCACAAGCCTCACAATGTAAATGATTTATGCAGACGGCACCTAGGAGTTGAGAGATTTAGTTCTATATGAACTGACATGTGTGAAATGACCTGTATTGCTTAATTATCTTATTATATTTCTGTACAATTGTTCTTTGCCTTATTCTAAATCCAACTAGATGTGACTCCTTCAGAAGCAAAAACAACTACATTTAACCCCTTAAGGACCAAACTTCTGGAATAAAAGGGAATCATGACATTTCACACGTCATGTGTCCTTAAGGGGTTAAAGATGTAAATAAAATATTGCAATTATTCCCAGTGGACCTTTCTAACATGAACCAGCTGGACTTACTAAAGTTAATGGATGAATAAATGAGCCAAACACCAAACACAGTGCTGGGATTAGTAGAATGTCCATTAATATAAGTACTGTATAGCCTAGCACCCACAGAAAAGGCAAGATAGAAAACATTAGTAGGAATGGAACTGAACGAATCCTTTTCACATAGATGGATAATAAAAAAAAATATATATTGCAAGGAAAAACATTAAAATGGTTATGAGATGTTCTCATGAGATGATGTTATTTTATGATTTTATAATCTCGTATAGAGCAGTGACCGAGTCAAGCAATATACCAACAAAAACACATATTCAGATTACACATATCATGCATTTAAAGTAATGAAGTTGTGTGTGTGTGTGTATCGGACAGATCATGTTTCATATTCCCTATGGTAACACAAAGCAATAGAAAACCATGCTGTGCGGCTTGAATCTACACAGTGCAGCACTATGTCTCTGCAAGCCCAAGATTAGTGGGAGTTATACTCCCGGTCAACAGCTTTGCTTCATGAATTCATGTCTCATGACCAAACCTTGATAAAGACCCAGTATGGTTGAAACGTTGCTGCTTTTGCCCCAATAAAGCTGCTATTTCTGTAATCCCGGAGTGCCTGAACCGTTATTGATTCTGCATATTTTAGCAATAGGAGAAGGGCTGTCAGAGAATAAAATACAATGGCTTCAAAGAGCAGCTACAGCCTGGGATTGTAACTTCAACCAATCCAGGGCATGACAGAAGTCATACATCACAGTGTTGCCCAAAATTTAAAGAAACCCTAACTCTATTTCTTGCCATAATCCCATTTTAAAAATACATGTATTAAACAAAATTACTTAACACTAAGTATATCTTTAAATGCTTTCTAGATGTGGGGAGGAGGATGGTAATTATTCATTTCATTTGACTTAAAAGATCACAATTCAGAATTTTTTTTTGTTTTTGTTTCATAGAGATCTTCTATTTAAACTATCATATAAACAAGAATCAACATAAAACCAATAAAGAATATAAAGCAAATTGAGACTCTTAAGGTCCATAGATTGTGGACATTTATTTTAAGATAATAAAAAGTCTTTATAAATTCTTAGATCTTGAGTCAAACACTAAAAATTGCATATAGTGCTATGACTATACAAAAGCAAATATTGAATTTTGAGCTGATTGTTCTGAAGGTGAAAACATCTGACCAAAAGGGAATGTGGAAGAGTTGCACAATTTAAACCTCGGAGCAGAAGTAAAGACTATGCAATACAAGGGAAGTTCCAAAGGCCATAACATGATATATATATAGATATGTTCTTATAAATAGGACTGAACTGAAAATAAAGTCAAACCCACAGAAGATCAATATATGTATAAAGATTATTGATATTAGTCTAGATGTCTCAGTGCGTGCTAGTTCTTTCTATCTGTTAAATATTCAAATTCAACATCAGTTCTTTTCTGCACATTGATCTAAGGGTTACAGGTATAGAACGGATATAAACATGTGAGGAAGTCAGTCAAAACATATCCTACTCCAAACAACGTAAATAACAAGTTTATGCTATTATATAGAAGGTATAGAGATTATTCAGTAAAGAGTAAACTGCAAAGAACAATCTGAGAACGTGCAAAGTTTAGAACAAAATAAAGAAATTGGAAGCATTTCCAACTATTTTTTACTGGTATTTAGGGTTTTCTCTTGACAGTTCTTCACATTCATCCCAGTTAATGAATTCCATACTTATAATATTTTACATAAATGTTGGGAACTTCTGCCAGTAGAATCCTGCTCAACAGAGCGGGGCTTAAGGCCAATTATTTAATGGCACCAGATATAATGCTAGCCAAGGGGTTCCAGTATTAGTGTTGTACATTTCACTCAATTCAGCTGGGCTAAATACAGAGCATTTAGTTGCCACCAGTGGACCATTTTGTAGCAGAGAAGGCAAGGGGAGGTTTAAAGTAATACTTATCTCAAACAGTTAACTATTTACTTGATTTCCCTCACTGATGACACAAAATGTAAAAAGAAAAGTAAGCTTTACTGTTTAATGACAGAAATAGTTAAAGCACGAAAAGGTGCTTAATGTACTGGGTTTGGTGCACTGATGCTGTCCCTTTACTTGAGCAATGTAGAACATTGCCATTTCAGTATTGGACTGATCATCAGCCCTGGTAATCACATTGTGGGTGTTGCGCTCCAGAAAAAATAATGTCTCGGCACTAGGTTACACTTAGGTGTAAAGGGTTTTTTTGTGTGTATGTTTGTGTTTGCTACAATGTTACATAATTTTTAAGTCTTTATACTCCATTTAAAGACCAGGCAGATAAAAACTGGAGTGGGTTATCGGCTGATAATAAGAAAGTTGATATATAAATAATGGGGCATGCGCTGGGCTCTGGATCTGAGAGGCTGCGGCTGACAAGGATCCCGGCAGCACCAGAGGGCAGAGACTGGCCCCGAGAGAGCCATGTGAGAACCCAGGGAATAGGATTCTGAGGCTCTTGTCCTGTCCCAAAATGGTGAAGCCAGATATCCACACGTTTGCCCGCCATCTCAAACGTCTCTATGTAAATTCAGAAAAGCAGCTCTTCCAGAGGTTGATTTCTGATGTGCTAAAAACTGCAGAGAAACTTTATCGCACCTCATGGATATCCAAGCAACAGAGGATAAACTTGGACAGACTTATCTTAACCAGTGCTGAAGCATCTCCAGCTGAGTGTTGCTAACATGCTGAGGTTCTGGAGGGCACCCAGTTTGTGGATGTTTACAAACAACTGGGCTTCCAGGAGAATGCTTATGGAGAGTTCTTTAATTGTTTACGTGAGAATCCTTGGCTCATTGCGTCGTGCCTTGTAGCAGGAGAAAAGGTCATCCTTACAGTCTTTACCTCTCTTTATGGAAATTGTACTATGCAAGAGGATGAGAGCAACCTATTGCAGGCTCTTCATAACCTCATTGAGTTTGAGCTGAAGGAGAGTGTTAATCCACATAGGTATTTACGAAAAGGAAAATGTGCCTTCAGCATAATTTTCAAACTTTTTTCTGAGGGACACTTCTCTGCAAAGGTCTTCCTTACTGCTACCCTGTATGAGCCCATCATGCAGTTGCTGCTGGAGGATGAGGATCACCTGGAAAGAGACCCAAGCAAGTTAACTGAGCATTTTTCTCCAGCACAGCAGGAGAAACTGTTTGGGGTGAAAGGTAGTAATCGTTCCAAGTGAAAGGCGCAGGAGATAGTTGAATCAAATGAAGCTAAGCTTGTAACACTTGTGAACAAATTCATAGGCTACCTGAAACAGAACACCTATTGCTTCCCTCACAGTCTTAGATGGATTGTTTACCAAATGTAAAAGGCTCTGTCCCATGTGAAAGGTCTGGAGGTAGGGGAGGTGAGGGCCATGTGCACTGACCTTCTCCTGGCATGTTTCATTTGCCCAGCAATTGTGAATATGGAACAGTATGGGATAATTTCAAATGCCCCAATCAATGAAGTAGCAAGGTTCAACCTGATGCAGGTTGGCCATCTCTTGCAGCAGATGGCACTGACTGGATTTGAGGAAGTAGATGCACGCAATAAAAGCAATCTCAGTAAATTTGATAAAAGCTGCGTTGCTGCTTTTCTGGATGTGGTAATTGGTGGACGTGTGGTTGAAACCTCTCCTCTGTCTTCTGTAAATCTGCTGGAAGTATTAAGTCGCACAGTTGTCTATTTGACCTACAGCCAGCTCTTCCGTCTATTGTTATTCTTGCATAGTATCAGCTCTAGTGACCAGTTACGGGAAGAGGATCGGATGGCTCTGGAAAACCTCTTGGCAACAGTGTCCCAAGCCAAACCAGGGAAGAGCAGTAATCATAATAATACCCCTTACATCACTCCTCAGCTCTCCTCTGCAACCACACCAGCTTGTAATAAAAAACGGCTACCTATAGTTACTCGGAGCAGGAAATAAAACCAGCCTTCTGGATGCAGATCATGAAGGATTCCAACAGTAAGTCGCCTCACAAGGACAACCCAAGGAGGTCCTGGTCATCTCATTAGGGACCGGTCCACAGCTGACTCCAGGCATGATGTTAGAAAATGAGGTTCTAAATATGCAACTGGTTGATGGAGGGAAGGCAGATGTCCGCGTTGATGACCCAAAGCTTCTTGGGAAGCCTGATAAGACCCTATGCAGTGATAATCTGGAAGGCATTTCAGAAGCAGAAGAGGAAAATCCGTGTTCAATAGGTCCTTCAAACCGCTCCAGTTCTGTCTCATCCCTGGATCTGGAAGGCGAATCTGTTTCTGAGCTGGACCTTCTGAGAGTAATGGAGTGGAATCACTACAGCTTCTTGCACATGAGCAAGTTACCACTCAAGATAACCTTGATGACAAGCTACGCAAGTTCAAAATCCGTGATATGTTGGGGCTGACGGAAGACAGAGACATCTCTGAGAATGTCAGTGAGACATGGAGCATGGATGTTCTTGGCAGTGACTTTGATCCAAACATTGATGAAGATAGATTGCAAGAGATTGCAGGTGCAGCTGCAGAGAACATGCTGGGTAGCCTGCGTTGCCTACCAGGATCTGGTTCTTTATTCCTTGACCCCTGCACAGGATCCACCATCTCAGAGACTACCAGTGAGGTGTGGAGTGTGGAAGTATTTTCCAGTCACTCGGAAGCACCCGATCTGAAGCAGGAAGAGCGGCTTCAAAAGCTGGAGAGCTGCTCTGGGTTGGGCAGCACATCAGATGGCATGGAGGTGAGAGAGGTCAGCTCCAGACCACTCCAGGTCTCAGCATAGTGTCAGGCATTAGTGCAAATTCAGAAGATATTCCGACTAAGATAGAGGACATACAATCTGAGTGCAGCTCTGATTTTGGAGGAAAGGACACGGTGACCAGCTCAGAGGGGGAAGACTCTGATCATGCTCTACACATCATGTTGCCTCCCACTCAGACAGAGTCCTTGTTGGCTATGTTTGACCCTCTAGCTCCAGCCTCTAGTGAAGTGGTATGTCCTAAAGTACACTATGCCAGACTGTCTCATCTACCTCCAGACCCCCCAATCTTGGAAGGTGCAACAGGTGGAAATGAGGCCCGATTGCCCACATTTGGCTCCCATGTATTTATTCCCACTGATTCTGATGCGTACAGACAGAGACACTCTTGTCCAGAGAGACTGGTGCGCAGCCGAAGCTCTGATATTGCCTCATCCTTGAGAAGACCTATGAGTGATCCTGTTTGGGTGCGCCGAGGAGGGACTGAAGATCAAGAATTTCCTACTGGTTCCATGGCACTTGCTACATCTGCACTGATAAATGCATAATAATCCTCTTCCTCCTCTTCTAGCAATGATTCCTCAAGGGGAGAGCCAGAAGAAAGGAAGGACAGTGATGATGAGCGATCAGACTGCAACAGACCATGACAAAATCAGTTTGTGTCTGCGATGCCAAAACCTCCCATTCCATTTAGGAAGAAGGAAAAAGACAAAGAGAAGGAGGATGTGGGCATTGACAGGTTTTCAATCTCAGATAATGGGTCAAGAATTGGCCCCCATTCTTAGACAGCAGAGGATATTCTGGACAAGTACAGGCATGCCATCAAGAGGACAAAACGAGGACAAGCCCCTCGTCGGCAAGAATCTTCTTTCTCATATAGGGATGCAAAAGAAGCTACAAACGGCTCTATGCTCTGTGGATTCTGTTGCATTCCAAATGGTTTCTCATTCTACCCGGAATGGTCTGCCAGACCACAACGACCCTGAAGATAATGAAATTGTATGCTTCCTGAAAGTCCAGCTGGCAGAGGCCATAAATCTGCAGGACAAAAACCTCATGGCTCAGCTACAGGACACCATGCGTTGTGTGAGTTGCTTTGACAACCGCACCTGTAGCAAGATCCCGGCGTCCATTGCAGAAGACTACAGGAAAAGAGCTTCCTACATTGCGTATATCTAACACAGTGCCGACAGGGATTGCCGGGGACCCAGGCTCACTTTGAGCGTCTTCTTCAAAGAGTTCTGTGAGATAAGGAATTTTCCACAAGATATTTCATGACCATCTGTGTTCGACTTCTGTTGGAGAGTAAGGAGAAGAAAATCCAAGAATTTATCCAAGATTTCCAAAAGTTGACTGCTGCTGATGATAAAACTGCACGGGTGGAAGAGTTTCTACAATCCCTATATGGGGCTATGGCACAAGATGTGATTTGGTAAAATGCCAGTGAGGAGCAACTGCAGGATGCCCAGACTGCCATTGAGCAAACTGTGATGAATTGAATTTCAAGCTGGCCTTCAATCCTATTCAATATGCTTATGTATTATGTGATCAGGTATTGCATGAACACATCCAAAGGTTGTCCAAAGTGGTGACTGTCAACCACAGAGCCTTGCAAATACAAAAGGTGTATTTGAGGGAAGGCCATCTGCCCAAGCTGAAATCCATACCCTTAGTGCGTACAAGACTCCACGGGACAAGGTGCAGTGCATTCTACGCATGTGTTCCACCATAATGAACCTTCTGAGTCTAGCCAACGAATACTCGGTCCCAGGAGCAGACGATTTTGTACCTGTGCTGGTATTTGTCCTTATAAAGGCCAATCCACCTTGCCTCCTTTCAACTGTGCAATATATCAATAACTTCTATACCAATCGGCTGACTGGAGAAGAATATTACTGTTGTATGCAGTTCACAGCTGCTGTGAAATTTATTAAAACCATTGATGACCGGAAATGAAAACTGCCAAAGCCAACTGGAGAAAAGATCTAACCTCGGTCTTGATGTCTGGTGCATAAACTTGCTCCTTGTATTATAATTGTACATATATAATGAGTGAGGTTTTTTTCTGCTGTATGAGGGTCCTGTAGTGCATTAGTGGAATACATTTCAGGCCTCTCTGGCTAAGAAGATATTAAAAGTTTTATCTAATATTGTTGGTGTTTTAAAAAAAAAAAAAAATGATAATAATAAAATTCTTCTTCAACTCTAGTGCAAAAACCCAACCTGAAGTTTTAACCCCATCTATAATTATGCTTTGTTTTAAATTAAATATTTACTAAGCAGAAAATATAGTGGTCATGTTAAAACTCTTACAAAACTTCAAAATTAAGTTACCCAGAAGAAAAGTTCAATAGGAGAACTAATATGCTTACAACTACATCTGTCTAAGAAATAGTTACATTTTGTAATTAAACTGTAAGCACTACATGACTATAAAAACACAAACATCATGCATAGGTTACATATAAAGGAAATTCCTATCCCTATGTTCCTGTACACAGTTGATTATTGCAGCAAGTTCACTTTAGTAAATCACAGCTTTCCCCTTTCCATACAGTATTTGTATATTTGCACAGGACATGTGTGAACTGCACTCAGGTCTCCATTCCCTGCTATGTGACTCCTGTGCGTTATCTATGAATGAACCAGTGCTACAGCTGCACACATCAATCTGCTCTAAATCATCATTTACAAGTAACATAGATGGAAGTAAGCTGGTAGAAGCCAACTATATATCTCCTGTGACAGTAAATTCCTCTATTTCATGAATGCATCGGTCCCCAGTACTACCTGTTTGAATTTGCAGGAACTACAGTATCTTCAAAAGTTAGTATGATTTGTACGCTTTTTCTCTGCATATTTTAGATACATTGTCTAGAATTATATATTATAAACATGGGATCAACGGCAGCAATCCTTTGAAGGAACACTATACTGATCGGTATTTAAAGCTGAATTCCTCCCCCCCATGGGCCGATAAAAGAATTATATAAAAACATAACCGATACCTGCACCTAGCTTCCTCAGCGCTGTGTCAGGTTCCTCCTCCGATGTCAGCTGATGGGGGGAACCTAATGGGCATGCCTCACGTGCATTAGACCTTCCCCATAGGAAATAATTGACTCAATGCTTTCCTATGAGGTTCTGCAAAATGCTGTACTTCCTCATGTCCAGTGTCGTTTCACAGGACAGCAGGAAGAGCATCTAGTGGCTGTCGGTGTTTAGGGAACAGGGATACTGCACCCAAACAGGTTCAATGAGAGGAAGTGGGTTAGGTGCTTATAGTGTCCTTTTAATTATGAGAGCGAATTGATGATCTCACTATCAGCCTGGGGATTAGACTTCCTACTGAGGGCAATCCAGCTCTTACCCAACTCAGTCATTAGTAATCCTGTTTTAGCATTTATTACATCTGAATATTCTATTAGCAACAGAAAATGTTACATTGAAGTAGAACAATGGTTCTGAAACAAGTCCTAATGTCCCAGCAATAGTCCAGGTTTTGTGAGTATCTCCACTTGAATAGAAATGGGAAATCCATAAAACCTGAACTGGGACATGGGGACTGGTTTGGGAACCACTGGCGAAGAAGAACAAACTTGAAATACTAAAAAAATTAATCTCAGATAAGAGAAGAATAGTAAAAGCCCCATGTAAAAACTTCCATTCAGATACAAATAGTGTACCCATTTAGAAGCGAGCACAAAGCTAAAATACAAAAAAACTAATCTAGTTACACCCATATTAAGCGATGGGTTTCTAAAAGAAAAAATAAATTGGAGCAGAACGTTAATCTGAGAACTTAATATAAATAAAACATCCTGTTTCATGACTTCCTGTTTTTAAGATAAATGTTTCAGACGAAGTCTTAAATAGCTAATGTTTATGGATGAAGTTAGTTATTTTATCTATAAATAGAGGATCACACATGCCCAACAAAATGAGTATATTTTAATGTTGTTATTAAGATTTTGCATGACAGTATTCAGACACACACACACATTTCTAATTGTTTTGCACCTAATAGACAATTATGTCAGGAGCTAAATTACGAACATGCCAATGGCTTTATAAGGTGCTGTGCACTGGAGCAGTTGCATGGGCAATATAGGTGCCTTGTGTTGGGACTTTTGACATAATACAAGGACATTGGACCATTTATTGCATCCCGTCTGAGACTCCTGGTTAACAGAGGGTCAGTCAAAGCTACACAGGACAGACGCTTCCTATAGGCTAATTAGGCGACCGACTAGGGCGCCGGTAGTGGCTTTACTGCTGGCTTGACCACCCCCTATCGAGCTGTATTAATTATTTAGAAAGGCCATCGGCCATGTTACCGGTCGCTAGGGAGCACTTACATGCCTGCTGACTAGCGCGCGGTAGAACACTGGTCCGGCGGCATCCATGATTCACCTCAGCTCGCAATGCCTGGCCCCCTCCCAGACATCCATATCAGCGGCAGCGCAAGGGTGCATTATTAGATCGCTCTCACTCCTTGCCCTGTAAGTGAGAAGCAGTGGGCGGGAGCATAGCAGTGGGGCTAAGACAGGGAGAATGATCCACCGTCAAGCAACTGGGCGCATTGAAGATGCCTGAAACACATGAACAGCACTGATATGTGAAATTAAGGTAAGAAGGTTAATGTATGTGTTTCAGAGAATGTGTTTCTGTCTGGGTCAGTGTATGTCTGTCTGGGTCATTGTGTGTTTGTCTGGGTCAGTGTGTCTGTCTGGATCAGCATGTGTCTGTATGGGTCATTGTGTGTTTGTCTGGGTCAGTGTGTGTCTGTATAAGTAATTTTGCGACTGTATGGGTCAGTGTGTGTCTGTATGGATCTGTCTGTGTCTATATGGGTAAGTGTGTGACGGTATGGATCTGTCTGTGTTGGTATGGGTCAGTGTGTGTCTGTATGGATCTGTCTGTATGGATCAGTGTGTGTCTGTATGGGTCAGTGTGTGTGCCTGTATGTGTGTGTCTGCACGGGTCAGTGAGTGTGTATGTGTGTGTGCGTCAGTCTGCATGGGTCAGTGTGTGTGAATTTGTCTGCATGGGTCAGTGTGTGCATCACTATGCATGGGTGTATGTGAGTCAGTCTACTTGGGTCAGCGTGTGTCAGTGTATGAGTGGATGGAGCGAATGGGGCGGCAATTTTTTTCTTTTTCCTAGAGGGACAAAAATCCTTGCACCGGCCCTGAAGCTACACATGTTTTATTTACCATATCCTTCTTCAATACCTCCCCCATCTAACTAATTAAAGAATTGCCAGGATAGGTCATCACTCAGCACTCAGAATAGTCACAAAGGACAAGGAAAAATAGACAGATACATATGTTCGGACCTTAGAGTGGGCAGGCTTCATGTACGAAGTACAGAGAATAAGCAATGTCAAGAAACAACCAAGTGTCAAGGATAATAGAGGTACACAGAATTGAAAAAACAAGCCAATGGTAAGGAATACAGAAAGCAGAATGGTTGAAACAAGCAGAGACCAATAAACCAGGAATCAAGCAATTAAAAAACGCGCTCTCAGATAAGCTCAAGTATTTAAATGCCTGACAGCCATGCCCCCAAATAGTGGGTGGGCATCAGGAATGACATGATTTGCGTTGATGGAGTCATGAAGTGGGGTGTGACTTGGTGATGTCATATAAAGGGCGGAGCTATAGTGTCTAAAAATGCTGGCAAAGGTGTCTGAGGGAGTGAAACTGATATGGTGCCTATCTGGGGATGTAGAGGCACCAGGTGAGTAGCATAGCACAAGGCTATGTATCCTTACAGGGATGTACTAACTAGCAGGGAGCAGATCATTCTTTGGGTTTTCCCTGTCTGGCTGTTGTCTGCAGAAACCCTACACTTTTTCTCCTGCATGGTGTAAGGCACAATTAAATAGATGTGAAGTTATTCTTGGCTTCATGTCTGTGCCTGGGGGTGTGGCGGTGGGGGGATGTTTATTTTTCTTTTTTTTTTATTATATGCCTATTAGCAGTATTCAACACATAAAGTAGAATATACCAAGTTTTATTACTGTATATGTAAAATAACCTAACACGTTAAACTAAGAATAAAACTTTTTCGGCACCTCATTACGCTGTCTTTTTTTTATATTACATTTTAATTCTGGATTACAGTTAAGCTTTGTCTTTTTAATATCCCCAATACTTTGCTAGTTCTCTGTTATCATTTCTGCTTTCTCCTTGGCAGCAAAATTTACGAAAACAGCTTTTAAGAAAGCTTGTTCTCCAGAGGGCTATCAGGGGCTTTTCATTATTGGATAAGATTAGGTTGGATAAAGTTAAAAGGTCTCGAGTCAGTCATTATGGTTTTTTTTCATATATTCATTTCTTGAATACTACAAATATTGGCAAGTTTGAATCGAATGTACTGACCTCAAACAAAGTTTTTAACCATATTTCCTTTAAAAAGTCAATTGGAAAGTTGGATCCTTGTGGAATCACGGACACGTTTTGATGATTTTGTTCTGCTATAAATTGTATATAAACATAATACCAATTATTTTTCTGTATTGCATGCTCTGGATTCTTATTAGTACCAGGGCATTCCAACTTGTCCTTTTATAAATTGTTCATATCTGACTGAGGTTAGACGTTTTTGCTGTTTGATTGTTAAAAATGTGGATAACTCTGCAGGGGGTGTGAATACTTATGAAAGACAGACACTATACGTACACAACTACTTACATACAAGCATATATACCTCCTCACATGCACACTTCAATGTTAGGGTGTGAGTGTGGCAGTTCTGAGAAACGTTCGGACACTAACTAATAACAATTTAAACAAATAAAATGTAATTTAGAACAAGAATAATGTTTCTAATGTACACAGACTGATTTCTAAATGCATCTATATTAGTTTAAAGACACCTTACTTTGAGTATTATTGGAGTGGAGTTCTTTTAAACACTCAGGCACACCAACAGTATAGCCTGAGTGTATAAAAGAACTCCACCACAATAATACTCCTAGAAAAGAGGGACATTGGGACACAGAGATTTGGACCCCAAATAGGGACTATTCCTCTTAAAGGACCACTATAGTGCCAGGAAAACATACTCATTTTCCTGGCACTATAGTGCCCTGAGGGTGCCCCCACCCTCAGGGTCCCCCTCCCGCCCGGCTCTGGAAGGGGGAAAGGGGTAAAAACTTACCTTTTTCCAGCGCTGGGTGGAGAGCTCTCCTCCTCCGATCCTCCTCCGTTCCTCCTCCTGGGCTGAATGCGCACGTGCGGCAAGAGCTGCGCGCGCATTCAGCCGGTCCCATAGGAAAGCATTCATAATGCTTTCATATGGACGCTGGTGTGCTCTCACAGTGAAAATCACAGTGAGAAGCACGCAAGTGCCTCTAGTGGCTGTCAATGAGACAGCCACTAGAGGAAATAGGGGAAGGCTTAACCCATTCACAAAACTGCTATGTTTATGAAAAAAAGGGTTAACCCTAGCTGGACCTGGCACCCAGACCACTTCATTAAGCTGAAGTGGTCTGGGTGCCTAGAGTGGTCCTTTAAATATGGACATTTGGGAGGTAAGTTCATATATACATGTACAGACATACCTCCCAAACAAATCAATCCATTCTTACCATGGTGTCCCTTTTTGTAATAAACCTGTAAATTTAGTGTACATATGTTCCTAGGCGTGTTTAAAGAAAAACTTGCAAATGTTTTGACATATGAAGTAAAAGGCAACAAATCAATCCCAAAACATAGAACAAAAAAAATGTAAACTAGTGACTACTTGAATTTGCCAGGTTTAAAGAATATAGAGACATTTTCTTAAACAATGTGTCATTGAACTTCAAAAGTAATCTAAAAATAAATATTGCTATAAATAATCACATTAAAATACAGGTGTAAACCACTTTTATAAATAAAAATAATTATAGAAAATGAAATATAAAATCATTCTAACAGTTTTTTTTCTGCTTTTACATGAAGTGTGCTACCACTGAGTTTGCATTTTTAAAATAGAAAAACTTTTTTAAGCAATAACAGAATAATCTGCTTTCATTTGTAGATTCACTTGACCTCTAATTCTAAAAATGAATGACCCAATTCTATGTGCATACTCTCTAGAACAATCACATAATTACACAAAGAGATAGGAATTCATCAGCTGATTATCAGATCTAGTTATGTGCAGTAATCACACTTTGTCAAACTGTTACATTTCCAGGAACATTCTCTGTACAGAAGCCTTTTTTTAGGCTCTCAAAGGACTGCTTATCTGTCATACTTCTTGGTGAAGAGTAAATGTGATATGACAACTAGAGTTACATGGTCTATTGATATCATTCATATGCATTGTAAAAAGTGCAGACCAGGAGCATAGGTAGAAGCAGGGCATGATTGGAGGTGACTTAACATTGTTAATGTTTAGAGTAAAATATTCAAAAAGTCTTTGTAGGAGAAGCATTGCCCAAAAGACATGCAAATATCAGGACAATGTAATGCCAACAAACTCAATAGACAGGGTAACACTAGGTGTCAATATAGAACAATTCAGATTAGCGGGAATAAGAACCACTCCACGTAAGAGGGTATGGAGGCCGTCAGGTTACAGAGCTAACACACCCGTGGATAGACTGAAGGTAATAGAATACTAAGACAAGTACATGGATATCGCTTATCCCGGGGCACAACTATGAATAGAACATAGAGTCATCTAAAATTTGAAATAACATTAAAAATAGACTTGAATGAATCAGATATTTTCTCGCACAATGATTACTCCTGGCTCTCATCTTAGAAATATACAAATTTTTATTGGAATATTAAAATATTTATGCTATTTTGGATAAATACATTTACCGAAACTATTTTTCTTAGCATTCTGAGACAGAGAAAAGAGATTATTTTAACACTTGGAATATTATTTCAGATCTATCTTTTAGAATTTCCCCAAAAAAACCGATTTCCTGAAGTGAGAAAAGAAAGAAATTTCCTATCTGTCTTTAGTCAGCTAATGGTTAAATTTTGTGGAGATATGTCACCACTATAGGATGAAGGGGTTTTGGCCCTTAAACAAATAGAATAGATAAAGGGTGGTGGTGAGGCATCAATAAAGTGCTAAAATTTTACTTTTATTGATAGAATTTAAACATTGTTTATCATTCCCTAATACTGGGATGTGAAAAACAATGATGCGTACTAAAAGGTGTATATATACTAGGAGACAGAACAACAAACATTGATAATGACACTCAATATAGAACATGAGATTGAGAAAAAAAGCAATCAAATAGGTCAGGCTTCCCCAAACTCCGGCACTCCAGATGTTACTGAACTACAACTCCCATGATTCTCAGCCTATTTCATTCACAGAATCATGGGAGTTGTAGTTCAGCAACATCTGGAGGGCCGGAGTTTGAGGAAGCCTGAAATAGATGCTCCTACTTTGGATACTGTGTGTATTGGAGACACAATGTAACTGTTTGTAACAACTCTCCAAGTTTACAGTATCTAATAACAAAATGTTTCATGAAACACCAGATATCGCGGAGTCGTTCAGTACAGAAGCTGCGATCTGGTGGTTGGATTTTTCTCTCGGAGCAATAAGTGTAGAAAAATTATAAATAAATTCTAAGGTTGTGGGTTAAGGCACTCCCATAGGTCTCTGACTAGCATTTCATAAAATCTAGTCAGCAGAAGGGGTGCAAGTGCGGGTTGGTCCCTATTATAGTCTAAGATTTACCAAAATGCTTGTACCGACATATTTGACAGCCGGCACTTGTCCCCCTCATGCTGTAAGCCCAAAGTAGCAAGATCAAGCAGCTGATAAATTAAATAGGATAATTCCCCCCCACACAGCTATCACATAGAAACATAGAATGTGATGGCAGATAAGAACCATTCGGCCCATCTAGTCTGCCCAATTTTCTAAATACTTTCATTAGTCCCTGGCCTTATGTTATAGTTAGGATAGCCTTATGCCTATCCCACGCATGCTTAAACGCCTTTACTGTGTTAACCTCTACCACTTCAGCTGGAAGGCTATTCCATGCATCCACTACCCTCTCATTAAAGTAATACTTCCTGATGTTATTTTTAAACCTTTGCCCCTCTAATTGAAGACAATGTCCTCCTGTTGTGGTAGTTTTTCTTCTTTTAAATATAGTCTCCTCCTTTACTGTGTTGATTCCCTTAACATGCAATACATGTTAAGTTCCTTTAACCTTTCCTGGTAAGTTTTATCCTGCAATCCATGAACCAGTTTAGTAGCCCTTCTCTGAACTCTCTCTAAAGTATCAATATCCTTCTGAAGATACGGTCTCCAGTATTGCGTACAATACTCCAAGTGAGGTCTCACCTGTGTTCTGTACAATGGCATGAGCACTTACCCCTTTCTACTGCTAATACTTCTCCCTATACAACCAAGCATTACTGCTAGCATTTTCTGCTGCTCTATTACATTGTCTGCCTACCTTTAAGTCATCAGAAATAATCACCCCTAAATCCCTTTCCTTAGATGTTGAGGTTAGGACTCTATCAAATATTCTGTACTCTGCCCTTGGGTTTTTACGTCCAAGATGCATTATCTTGCACTTATCCACATTAAATGTCAGTTGCCACAACTCTGACCATTTTTCTAGTTTACCTAAATCATTTGCCATTTGGCTTATCCCTCCTGGAACATCAACCATGTTACATATTTTTGTATCATTAGCAAAAAGACATACCTTACCATCAAGACCTTCTGCAATATCACTAATAAAAATATTAAAGAGAATGGGTTCAAGTACAGATCCCTGAGGTACCCCACTGGTGACAAGCCCAAGCTTCGAACATACTCCATTGACTACAACCCACTGTTGCCTGTCACTCAGCCACTGCCTTACCCATTCAACAACATTGGAATCCAAAGTTAAATATTGCGGTTTATTGATAAGCCTTCTATGTGCAACAGTTTCAAAAGCCTTACTGAAATCTAGGTAAGCAATGTCTACTGCACCACCCTGATCTATAATTTTAGTTACCCAATCAAAAAAATCAATAAGATTAGTTTGGCATGATCTCCCTGAAGTAAACCCATGTTGTCTCTGATCTTGAAATCCATGTGTTTTTAGATGTTCATCAATCCTATCCTTTAACATGGTTTCCATCACTTTCCCCACTACTGAAGTAAGGCTTACTGGCCTATAGTTGCCCGACTCCTCCCTATTACCTTTCTTGTAAATGGGCACAACATTCGCTAACTTCCAATCTTCTGGGACTACTCCTGTTAACAATGATTGGTTAAATAAATCTGTTAATGGTTTTGCTAGTGCACCACTAAGCTCTTTTAATAACTTTGGGTGTATTCCACCAGGTCCCATTGACTTATTTGTCTTTACTTTTGACAGTTATAGAGATAGAACCTCTTCCTCTGTAAACTCACATGTATGAAATCACTAATTTGTCATTTTTCCTAACTGAGGCCCCTTTCCTTCATTTTCATCTGTAAATACTGAACAAATATTGTTAAAATAAAAAGAGGTTCTAAAGTATAGTTCTAGCTAAACCAGAGGCTGGAATTTTTTTTAAGTTATATCAAAAAAGATTTATGAAGTCACATAGATGTCTGGTCCAGGAGCCATGTCAGTCTGCACTCGACGCACATTTCGCCCGGCGGCCGTTGCCTAGGATCATCAGGAGTGCTGGGGGTGGGCTTCCTGTCATTCGGTTTAAAAAGAACCAGTCTCAGTAATCATTGGTTAATTGACTGCTAGTGGGGTTTGTCCACTTTTTAAAACTTTTTTTCTCTAACTCCTTCAACTCTTTCCTTTAACAAGTCAAAATAATGGATCTCAGATCAGGATTAATATTTCTCAAAAGTCATATTGAGGTGATACCTCCCTTGGAAATATGTATCTCTATAGTCAAGAAAGAGCTCATTTGTACTGACACATCTGGCAAAACGCTGCAGTACATTTTTTCGATGCTATGATGTAGAGTTATATTCAGTCAAAAAGAAGTTAGCTATTAAT